TTATATTTGTTTTCTACTCAAAATAACTAGACAAATATGTAGTATTTAATAAATTGGGGCTTATAATTTTGAAAATAGATAATTATTAGGCAAGACTTTTAAGTCATTTATTTGGGTTATGTATTTAGTTATGCATTAATCTGGTTGCAGATAATTGAACCTGACCATGATAAGCAGAAAAGGACTTATTGGAAGGATAGATCATAGAGTCAAATAAAGGCATTAGAATGATGAGATGACTGGATGTCTACCTCCCTTTAGCTTTCAAATGATATGAGGTGGTGTGAAATAGGACTCCACTGTCCACTTATTTTTTAATTTCTCTCCCAAACTGGAAGTAGGTTTGGATACTGAAAACTCAAATATTCACTGTATCTGTATCTACTTAATACTATAGATTTGTATGAGGTTTTTAAAATATAAATGTGAAACATTTAATCCATAAATGTTTTTTATCACGATTGCTCAGTCTTTATTCCTGTTAATACTTATGCTAGTTGACCTAGAAATAATGTTGAATGTTCATCCAACCAACTTAAACTTAATACAGTGTTAAGTGTCCATAATACCTCAATGAAGTTGTGGGTGGGAAAATTGCTACCAGAGCTCAGAGGGCAGAAATGACCTGAACTGGAGTGATCAAGAGAGACTTTGGCTGGACTTGGGATTTGTCCATGCAGTGATGAAGGAACGGGCAGACCAAGCCTAGTAAACTCAGAAAGACAAAACTCTAGGTACTCCCAGTTAGGCGGTATTGGTAGAGACTACTTGTGACACCAACACCACAGCTAATTTGTGTAGCACTTTATAGTTTACAAGGAGCTCCTGAATGCAGAGGCATCGAACAGCGTAGGGGTAAAATGGCAGAGTATGGAGCCAGGAAAGCCTTGGCTCTGATTCTTAGCTCTGCTACTCACTAACGGCATGACCTTGGAAAAGTTAGTGAACTTTTTTTTTCTCTTCTTTCATATCTGAAAAAAAAATTGAGGTGATAATAATGGTAATACCTACTCGACAGAGTTTTGAGGTTTGTGAGCTGATCTGTGAAAGGGGCATGGCATGCAGTACCTCTCAGTAATGCTAGATGAATTATGTATCTTGATCCTCACAATAATGTGGAAAGGTTGGAGCTGTTATCTTCATGCATGCCATAAAAACTGAGTGTTCAGAGGGTTAAATGAATTAAAGGATAAAGAACTATGGAGTTGAGATCCAAACTCTTTAACCACTTTTTCTGACTAGTACACAGAAAGTAAAATTTAAGAAATATTTGAGTTAATTAGTTGATGTCATATGAAAGTAAAGTAGCTATAACATGTATTTCTGGAATTTTCTTTCATATTTCTCAAGATTAATAAAGATACAAATACTCAAAATGTATGTAGGGATAAATAAAAATTACAGAATTAGCCAGCACAGTAGCTGATATGAATGTACATGAACAATTAACACTCATTTCATATCACAATATAATTTTCTCACTGAAGCAAAAATGAATTTTCCCCTTTGGTGGAGCATCATCTCTGGCTCACTGTGGAGTATGACATGAATTTTTATATCTTTCAAAGCTCTCTTGAAGACAATATATTGAAAAATGACATATTTCAGTGTGGAAAATCCACCCTTTCCTTTTTCTTTCTAGTGACCACATTCAGAACATTTTTCTTAAACGTACTCTAGAATAATTTATAGTCTTCCTAATCTTCATTTTAGGAGTTAGGAAATATTAGTGAAACCATGCACAGTAGGATAAAGGTGACTTCAGCGTGCTCACACTGGACTGAAGTAGTGCTGGTGAAATATCTCATGCTGCTGTTTGATTCATGAAAACTAATAGCCCTGAGAAATTTAATTTAGAAAGCTGCACATTTTGAGTAATATATAGATTACTTGACAGGTAGGTTATTATTCAATTGAGGGATTTTATATGAAAATGTTAAATTAAATGCTACTGGCAGTTGCTAAAGATTGTACTTTTTAATTATTCTATTTTTCATCCAATCTCTCCTCCTCTTTTGTCATTGACTTTTTAGGTTGCTGACAATATATTCTTTTAGCTCAAATTATCATTCTAGGTAATAGAGGCACATAGTAGGCACTCAACAAACACTTATTAAGTGACTTTAATTTGCCATACTCACTTCATGGGTTGCTGCTGAAATTATTTGGCTCCTACTTCAATTTTTCAAGTGTGCAGGGGATTTTACTGAGCTTCTCAGCCTCCATGTGATTAATGAGATTTCTAAGCGTGTTAAAATCGGTGCTATGGAATATCTTGGGCCTGGAACTAGGGAGTTGTTGATTGAGTATGCTTATGTTGCCTCTGACTGAGGCCAGACAGAAAAAATAGGCCCTCTTTAACAGGACTTAAAGTTTCTGATTGAAGATGCCTTTAACTGAACATGAGGGCCCATAATAATGTGTTTTCATGCACTTAACCAAGTATTTGCTTATGCCCTCATTTTAAAGTTTTGTGTCTTCAGTTTTCTTAGATTCAAAATCACAGAATTCTTCAAGTTTTTATCATATTTAAGCTTAATTTTTATGTTTTTTTCTTCTAATTTAACTATCTCAATTCAATGATTTCAATGGGATTTCTGAAGGCTCTATTTTGGTTTTGGAATAATTAGAATCACTGTCATTTGAATATATGTGTCAATAGTGTATGGCATGGTTTTGAAGATATTGCTGATTAGGTCAATTTTTGTGTAAAAGATCACAAAACTAACTTTTGTATGTGTTTGATCATGATGTTGTGAGCTGTGACTAGGCAAACCGATAATGCAGGCTTTGGAAAAAGAACCCACATTCGACTTCATTAAGTTATTGTTATATCTGTATGTGAGACAAAGCTATGTTCCCCAGACATTCTATAGTGTAAGTGCTCAGTAGAAACTGAGGAGATTGAAACTCTTGTCAAAGTAGCTTACACAAGCACTCATTTAATCATCATCATTGCAGGTGTTTTTAAACAGTCTGTAAAGGCATTAGAGAATGTAATCATGCCCATTCCCTTAAAAAACACTGGTCTCTTTGTAGCAAGTGGGTAGCACTCACAAACATGCATGTAGGAGTATCATGTATATTTTTATGTATGGAACTTATTTTTAACTCTTTGTTATTCTAAGTTAATCAGATCATTTAAAATTCTGTATTATAAGGTGCTTTTTCTCTTCAAGTATGGTGTTATCAGTAAACTTATGGCACATACCCTCAATTCTAGCACCAAACCTGACAAAATATGCTAGAAAGTTTGTTCTGGGTTTCGCTACATTATTGCCAGGCTGATGATTATTCATTTTGTCTGAATGTTTCCTGCAGAGTTTGCAGGGTTTTGAGGGTGGTACTATCCAAACCATTTACTTCATCTTTAGATTGTTGGGTGAAATATTTTAAGAAAAAAAATTAAAATGATTACTGATTACTGGATATTAAACCCAGTGTTCTTGTCTAGTTTTGCAAAGCCTTTCTCTGTCTTAGAGGAAATAAAGTAAGGAAGTCATTTTTTTAATTAATCACTTATTCAGTAAATACTTATAAAGCATCTGCCATGTGTGAGTGAGGCTTAGAACTACACAGTGGGACTGCAGTAGTTCAAGGAGAGATGCAGGGGCTATATGGACTAGCAGGAAGAGCACTGAATTTTGAGTCCTGAGACCCAAATACCAGCTCCAGGGCACTCATGAACTGCCTGTATAATTTTGGCACATATATATTTCTCAAGACCTTGGTTGCCTTATTTATAAAATTACTAATTATACCAGCTCTATAAGTTTATTATTGTACAACTCGATTTCTTCTAGCTTTGACAACTGAAGATTATTTTAAAAACACATCATTTTTTATAATTTGATTATTTTGTTTACTATTTGACACTGAAGTACTACTTAAGATCCTATTCCCCTCTTCCAACATCAGTATGTACACACACACAAACACATATGTGCATGTGCATATTTTGACAATATGTAGTACTTATCTTAAGGGCAAAGTTTGGCCCTATTCTGTAAATGTGTTTAGAAAACAATATAACACAGATACTGAAGGCTGCTTGTTTTTAACTTGTAGCTAAACATGACATTCAAATGTTAATTAGATGAATAAATCTTGTTCATTTTACAGACATGAAAATGTCAATGGAATAAAACTATTTATCACAAGATAATGGTCTCCTGCCGCCAGATAAATGCCAAGATGAAGATACTTATTGAAAATGTATCAAAATATTGTATTGCTATTTATTGAACATAAAGTTTGAGGAAAAGTTCAGCTGTTCAGATCAAACACAAGAAATGCCCTACCTGTAGTAGTATTAGTATATTAAAGCAAACACAATGTTCATGGTATAGAAACATGAACAAATTCTAAGAAATGATGGTCTCTAAGTGAATCCTTTAGCTTTGCAGTGTGAGAACTACTGGGATAGGGCCTGGGAGGACATACCTAATATGTATTAAGCTCTTATGTGTCTGACACAGGCCTGGTGTGTCACTGATATAAACCTGTTCACAAGAAATCATGTGTGTTACTTCTCTCCATTCCCCATGGCACCCAACAGAGTGATTTGAACATTACAGATATTCAGTAATTGAGAGAGTGAAAGAAGCACATGTAAGTTCTCTGATTTAAGGACTAGAGGAAGTGTTAAGGCTTCAGAGTTATCTGTAGTGTACCCTGGTGACTATGGGAGTCTGTCTACTTAGGTCTTTGGCTATGCTAAAATAATTTGGAGTTTATTTATTTTGTAAAATTCCTAGAGGCAATGAATGAACAGATAATTTAACTACTAGATGGTTACAAAGGAGAAAAGCTTGAATGTTTAGATATCCCTCCGGAAGAAAATAGCAATTCATATAGCACTCTTGTGATATACAAATAGTGTGTGTCCTAGTAAAGATTGCTTTTTAATCATAATATTCCCCAGTAGTTTTAGATAGACACCAAACCCTGTTGTGTCAGGTGGATTACTAACTGACAGTCTTTACCATGCGCTTTCACAGATGGAAGACCTTTAACTCTGAAGGACATATGGGAAGGAGTCCATGAATGCTATAAGACACGGCTGCTGCAGGGACCATGGGACACTATTACCCAGCAGGTTAGAGAATATTTTCATTTTGTTATGTGTGATTCTTTCCCTCTGCTCATCAGAACTTCCAGATCTCTTTCCACTACTATTTTTCCTGTTTCACTCCTCTTCGTCTTCACAGATGTCAGTTCAAAGAGTTTCTTTTAAAAATGCAGACCCAGGCTTGGTTTCGCCTCCCTGTTTTAAGTTATCATAGTACCCTGTAATTTTCCTTTACAATGCTTCTCATAATTTTAAATTATTTATTTAGATGTTTCTTAAAAAATTAATCCCTGTCTTTTCCATTATACCATGTGGGCAGACCCTGTCTTTTTTCTTTCCCTTTATTTTACACCTAGTACTTATCATATAGTAGGTGTTCAGTAAAAGAACTGTTAAGTAAGTAAGAGTAGAAACTATGTTGGCATATACACTAAGAAATAAGTGATTTAGCTATGTTGCCTATAATTCTTCAGGGTTTTACTTGTCGGTGCATTTGCAAAAAAAAAAATAATAACTTGATTAATAATATGTTTGCAATAATGATCTGAAAAAGTAGAGAAAATAGATCTGCAAAAGTGAATATAAAAAGTAGATTTGCAAAAGTAGAGGAAAACAGATCTGTCAATCATATAAGTCATTATTACTGCCTTGCTAAAATCAGCAGCTAATTATTTTAGAAATTTAAAAATACTTATCACCTTGCAACCAGTCATGGTCTCCTTAAAAATAATTTTTACTTATATCAAAAAAAATTTTCCCAACCTATTAAACTTAATCAAAGCTTCTTTTAAAAATTACTTTATCAGCCAGTATAATTTTTATGTCTTTTCTTATGTTTGATCATAATAATGACAGTCTACCTCCCAATCAGCATAAGAATCCTTAGTATCTCTTAAGTAATTCTTTGACAATAACTGCAAATGACCATTTTCTAGGTTTTAACTGGGGACAAAAGTTTAAGTATATGTATCTTTCCCCTATCCTCCAATTAACCCTCTCTGTTCCCTTCCTACTCTCCCCATCCTAGATCAAACTCTGTAGGCTCACCTGGCACAGATAGTAAAGCCTCCTCCCTCTGGTCTTCTGCTTTTTTCCTCCCTGCTCCTTACCATTAGTAACATTTTCCTAAACATGCTGTGCTTACCTCATCCATGTGCCAATGTCTAATAGCCGTGCAAGGGCCTGGGGCACGTGGTCGAAATGCTTTGCCTAGCCCTCCCCGGCTGCTGCCATCCCTGGCTCTAGTCTGTCCTTTCACGATGTCTTCTATGCTTCCACTCTACAGTCTCATCAACTGCCAGACATGGCTGTTCGTTTCCTGGAACCCATCTCGTGCAGTTAATTCTTGGAAGCCTTTCCAGGTATAATGGCTTCCCTGTTGTCTTTGTTCTGTTTTTATATTTCCTCCTTGTTCTCTCATGTGGTCCTTTTCTGAAACCACCTCAGCTCACAAAAATGGCCCCTCTGAATATCCCAATTCTGTAGCCCAGCAATGGGTGGTTGCTAGGAAGAAGGAAAATGAGATATATATGCAAATCCATCATAAAGATTTTTGGCAAGAACATTTTATTTTATGCAAAGCGTTTAGATTAACCTTTAAGTATGCCAAGGTGAGTGCTACGAGTTTAGTCATCCAGTATCTCGTCAGTGACCACAAACTGTCCAAAAATGTATTCCATAGTGTTAGAATCCACAGGACCATGAAAATGTTTGGTTCTAAGAGTCAAGGAAGATAGCAAGGGAGAGGATGGGAACATTCAAAAGTATATATGTTTTTTAACTCTAGAGCCTTTTTTCTCTGTTCCTCCTCAGTCACATTTTACATGGTGTTTTTCAGATCAATTCTTATCCTTTCCCTTTTTCTGTCACTAGCAGCCCTGTTACCAATCTCTCAATGCAAGCTGACAGCACAATTCCTAGTTGTCTATGTCATTTTGGGTTTTAATTCCACATTCCTCTGTTCTGACTCTTGACATATGAATAAGATTTTGAGGTCAACTGTATTTTCTTAGTCTCTTAATGTAATGTTGCCAATAGATTTCTTTTCACTGATAGAACTCCAAAGTTGCTAAACCAACCAAGTGAACCAATCTGCACATTGATTGTTTTAAATGGAATTGACTAACATATTTACATGTATAGGCACTTAAGTGTCATATAGACAGCCTAATAGTGGGCAGACCATCTTACTCCTGCCTATCATAGTACAATAGTAATGATCAATCCCTATCACTGTGAGCATTATTACTATTTTTAACATCTAGTGTGGGTCCCACTTAATAGGAAGGATATTTGATAGACCCAAATTGTAAGATAACTCCAACATTTAGATGTTCTTTTGGATTTGTCTTATTGGGACTGATCTGTAGACAGCCATCCCACCCTTTTTTTTTATTCACTATGTTATCATTAATCTACAGTTACATGAAGAACATATGCCCACTAGACTCCCCCATTCACCAAGTCCCCCCCACAAACCACCATAGTCACTGTCCATCAGCGCAGCAAGATGCCGCAGAATCACTACTTGTCTTCTCCGCGCTGCACATCCCTCCCTATCCCCCACTCCACATTATACATGCTAATAGTAAGGCCCGATTTCTTTTTCCCCACCCTTATCCCTCACTTCCCACCCATCCTCCCCAGTCCCTTTCCCTTTGGTAACTGTTAGTCCATTCTTGGGTTCTGTGATTCTGCTGCTGTTTTGTTCCTTCAGTTTTTCTTTGTTCTTATACGTCACAGATAAGTGAAATCATTTGGTACTTGTCTTTCTCCGCCTGACTTATTTCACTGAGCATAATACCCTCTAGCTCCAACCATGTTGTTGCAAATAGCAGGATTTGTTTTCTTCTTATGGCTGAATAATATTCCATTGTCTATATGTACCACATCTTTATCCATTCATCTACTGCTGGACACTTAGGTAGCTTCCATTTCTTGGCTATTGTAAATAGTGCTGCGATAAACATAGGGGTGCATCTGTCTTTTTCAAACTCGAGTGCTGCATTCTTAGAGTAAATTCCTG